TGTTCATCTACTATCAGGTGCAGGTTCATCCTCCTCTCCAGTGCACTGTGAAGTTACTCCTGTCAATATCAGCTGTTCTGATCAAAAGTGTAGAGCCACATGTCATTGTTCAGGTGATCTTTTAACATTTACTGTTTTCTTAGGGCCTTCATAATTATATCGTTTAAAGGTTTTTAGATCTTTTTTCATTTTGATGCAAGGTTGTTTTTGTTTTTGCAAAAAAAAAAAAGGCTGTTTCCTGTTTGAGTGGGTTGACTATCCAGAAATGCCCCGATGACCTGCTTTTAGCTGCTTTGGAGTTCCTTGGTTCCCTGGGAAAAGTGTTTATTTCTCCCAGTATTCAGGTATACGTGGAATATGAGGTAAAAAATTTCAGACCAGAAATTAGTTCTTTCATTTGGTGATTTCATTGTGTGTGTAGTACATATATGTATGTGTGTGACTGCAGTGCCAAGTTTTGCCTAGAATCAGTGGTCTGTTTAATGGTCTCCTGACTCACCCATCCTGGCTGATACTCCATCATGTCCTGGAGGCTTTTGGCCTCTTTGCAGAGGTCAGAAATTCCTCATTATAGAACCATTTTTATTCAATAACAGACAATGTCTTCAGTTGTTAAATTTGTATTTGAGTAAATCAGAAGTGAATGTATAATGATACATTTTTGAAAGACAACACAAATTCTGCAATGTAAACCTAAGTGATAATTTTCTCAAGAACTTGTTTTTATTTATGTTTATTCATTTATTCTTAATCTGTTTTTAATCAACAATTTTGTAATCTAGCTCGCGTCTTTTTTGTAACTTTAAGATAACCAACCATGAGGAAGTGATTTCTCAAACATTGACATCAGAGGAAATCAAAACCAAAGTGTTAAACTACCTCAGTAAGGTATGAAATGAGAGATATATGGACTTAAAATAAAAAAAAAAGTGTAAATTTGTCTTATTGCAGTTCTCCTAATATAGATTAATGTATCACTCTCTACAGACCGTCTCACACCAGGAGTCTGAGGAAGCAAGACTAGAACGTCTGAAGGAGTGGAGGAGTATAATAGAGAAACACTGTGAGCAAATGGAGTGTGAGGACAACTCACCTGTGCACACGCCACTTACAGAGGAGGTAAATGAGTGAAAGGATGGCTAACTTTCCGGTCTGACATTCCTATGGAACAAATTTTTACTAAATCTGTGATTCTTTGCCTGTTCCAGCCATGTCCGAAGAGGGCAAGACAGGAGACCAAAGTAGAAGAGGAGTATGAGCGATACCTCCAGACAGCAGAAAGTGCCTTGAAAGCCCTGCAGGCAATAGTGGGGCCAGGCCACAACCCGTCCCCTCCACAGTGGGTCAAGACCAGACTTGAGGTCTTACAGTCACTGATAAGTCAAATTAACACCACTACAGTAGAGCAGCCCTGATTCAACAACAACACCACCTCTACCTCTGGCTGCTTTTAACACAACGCTGCCTTTTTGTTCCATGTCACCACATTTGCTGAAGTCACCCAAGATATTTGTATAAAAGTTGTATTTTTTTTAAGTTTATATGGAAAAGTGTCACTCCAAAGACCATAAAACTGTTTATTAAACTTGTGCTAGAAAATGAACTATCCATCGATTGTTGTTGAGATGTGGGTGTAAACGTAAAAATAACAAAAAAACATACATGAACAAATTTTTCACAGTAAGATGTATAAATTGCATTTACATAAAGATTTATGCCGACTTAGATGTATTAGAAAAAAGACCAATTTTAATTTGGTATGCAAATAAATGCAATAAAAAATGCTAATTGCAGTAGAGCATTTAAATATTACAATGACATCATAGCTGTCAGTTGTGAATATTCTAAAGGCTAATTCACAACTGCACCAACAGACACCAGCAATTACCAGATTATGTTTGTTATCGGTTTGTTAGAAAATCATACCCTACTGTCCAAACATTCCTGACAAACACTGATTGAATGTTCAGTCGGTAAAAACAAACACGACCAATGGCAACAGACCGACAGGGCTAACACACTGATCTGAAATCCATCATTCATCAAACACCTCATTTCGTGTCTGTCGATGCAGTGTGACCTAGCCTTAAGTCAGTGGGAGATTTTTTATTTTATTTTACCAAATTTCGTAGTCAATATTACATCAAAATTTCCCCAGATTTACTTAAACTTAAAACCGTACATGTCAAAAATGAATCAAATACCATAAAACCATTTTATTTAATAAGCAGCTGATAATACAAATAAATTAAGTTGGGCTCTCACCAAATCTAATGAACAAAAATTAGAGTCTATATATTTCTTCTCAAGTTGAGGCGGTCCGTCCTCTAAGGCTCACTGAACCAAAAAAAAGAAGAAGCTGTATGGCACAAATAAACCTGACATTAGAAGTATGTATTTCCAGGTTAGGTACCCCTCCACAGTGCAACATGACTGAAGGACTACTAATAGGATTTGGCATGTTTAGGTCCATCATGCTATCTTGAAAAAGCTACACAAGACAAAAACTTTTTCTGTAGCCGAACAATTTCTATGGCAACAGTAGACTGAATATCATATTGTATTGGGTGGGGGAATCTTACAATACACACTACTCTCTTAAATCGTAGTTACTACATTTTTAAGTTGGTCTTTAGTGATAATGTCATGATGGCATATGTAGCGGTTTTCTTGAATGGGAATCTCTCATATGGCTTTCTGTAGAAGACCACACTGATCACCAGGCATTCTCATCTTCCCAGTTGAGGTCATCGCCCCATCCTTCTGTCTCAGTCTGTGAAAGCAAAACAAAAGATCATCTCATCAGTTTGTCATCGTACTGTAGTTTCAATAATTGAAATAGATGTCGGGACGCATAGCTAAACTAACCTCAGCCAAGTCAGCGGCAGCAAACTTGGTGGTGAGGCTCAGTGCATCTATTGATGGGTCTGACGTTGTGTGTCCCGTGATGGGTTCTTTGACTGAAGAAGAGATGAGAAGAGATGAGACTGACGGCTTAATATCTGGTACCATGTCTGCAAAGAAGTCTAGTTCTGGATCTGGCTCTGGCTTCTTCTTGACTGCAATTGTGAACTCCTCCCCGAGACATCCAGCTTCAGAGCTTTTGATCGTGCTTTTTGGCTTGGGCTCTAATGCTAAACTTGTTTTGCTGGGTTTGAGGGTGTCAGTTGTCTGGTTCCAACCGGTGTCCCACGATGAGGTATGGTTATGATCTGGAGCGCTTCTGACGCTAGAGTTCAGTTTGAGTGCTTTTGACTGCCTTGGAGGTCCTGTGCTAGATTCAGACAGAGATAATGCAATGCTTTTTGTTGATGTCTTTGGTACAGAGACTGGTAAAGGAGTCAAGGGTGACCGGTCTGAGGTCACTTCTGAGTCCTCAAAATCATCCCAGGGTTCCTCGCTTTCATCCTCATTGTCAGCTGATAAAGCAGAGTTGCTCTGACCTGGGATGTCCGCTGACCGAATGCTAATCTGGACTGACTGGGTCTTGTCCTTTTCTGCCTCCTCTGTGTCACTCCAATTAGGCCAGTCTTCGTCGGATCTCACTGTGCTGTTAGTTTTCGTGTTGTCTGCAGCTTGTGTGCCCATTCTGCACCCATTCAATGGGAATGACATTTCGCTGCTAAATACTAGAGAGATCACTTGATTCAGAAGGGTTGTACATTTAAACACCAAGTAGGGACAAACAAATGCAGTTAAAGTCAAGATAACTTCAGCCTTTCTTTTCAAATTATTGCTTGACAATAAGCAGTTCAGAAATGTTAACTGTTAAGAGTGAGTTGCTTTAAGGATCAGTTGTGGCATACCTGCCCTCTCTGATGTGGTGTGCTGGGCGGTGGTCTTTTCAGTTGCTTTGAAGGAGTACATACTTTCTAAAACCATCTTTTTGTCCTCTGAGCCCTTAAGGAACAGATTCAGGACCTTTGGTGGTTGTGAAAGGTGGGGATGTAATGGCCCAACAATATGCACGGGTGATGCTGCAGAGGAAAAGAGGTTTGGGATGGGTAAGATTTTTAATGGTTGGTTTTAATGGTTATTAGATCAAAAATGAAGTAATATTGTGAAATATTATGATTTAAAATAACTGTTTTCTATTTTAATGTATCTTAATGTAATTTATTCCTGTGATGGCAAAGCTGAATTTTCAGCAGCCATTACTCCAGTCTTCAGTGTCACATGATCCTTCAGAAGTCATTCTAATATGCTGATTTGATGCTCAATAAACATTTCTTATCTTTATCGAATGCTGAAAACAGTTCTGCTGCTTAATATTTTTGTGAAAACTGTGATATATTACCTTCTTGGATTTTTTTTTGATGATTAGAAAGTTCAAAAGAACAGCATTTATTTTAAACAGAAATCTAAATGTTATAAATGTCTTCACATTAGTAGATGATTAATAGACTGAAATAATTATTTAAGTGTGATTAATTTCAAATATTTGTTTTAAAATGTAAATATTATATACATTAGTATATATTTTCTTTCCCTAAAAGAGGAACTGAATGCACTACTAGAAAATAAATATCTATGACATATAAACTGATGCAGCAGTGTCCTCCAGTGGCCTCAAAACAATGTTAGTACTAGGGATGGGTATCCCCATCGTTAGTATTACCACTCTTACCGATACTGCTTATCGATTCGGTACTTTAACGGTATTCTTATCGGTACTTTTTGTTTTATATATATATATATATATAAGACAATATATTGACACACATCGGATTTTCTCCCAACTGTTCTCCACTTCAGACATAAACTGTGTTTAAGTAAATACTCTCCAAGCCGGCCATTTTGACATTTTTTGTGTGTATTTGATTGTTTGGACATGTGCCCGAAGCTCAAAGTGTAATTTGTTTGTCCGTTTTGGAGCACGCCGCGCGCACACGTCAGCCTGAGGAACAGCGTCTCTTGTGCGGATTGTGCTTTCAACATTTTATTATCAAACATGTCCCGCAATTTAGCAACAGTAAAGACGGCATCTTACAACAATCACCGATTGAGCTGATTCTGACGTTAAGTTTGGGTTTTAGGGAGGAACGAATGTGCACCGCTGTGAAGGGAAAGAAGTTGCGCAATACGAAACGCAGCTAGTTTTTAATAGCTTTACCTCATGTCTTCTTTTGTATAATCCTTAGAAGCCAAAATCGAAATAAAAAAATAAAATTAGCTTAATAAAACAGCCACAGACCTAAAGTGTAAGCAGATGTTTGAATGTTAATTCTCTCTTCTATCACAATTAAACAGGGCTTTCTTGTTGCGCATGCTGAAGCTCCTCCGCGTGAGCGCGATCTCGCTTCTGAACTGCGAATAGCAAAAATGCATCATAGACAAATGTTTGAAAAACAGCTGGCGACTCTGGTGAGATAGAATTTGCAAGATAATGTATATATAGCAATAATAAATGTATGTGTTTTATTAATTTCTCCAGTACCGATAGCAGAACCGTTAACGTCAGAGCTTATCGATACTCCGGTCTTTCATAATTTAGCCCCGGGACCGATTAAATACCGGGTTTCGGTACCCATCCCTAGTTAGTACCATCAATGTGTTTCATACTTCATCATCTGAATTTCATTTATAAATACATTAGCCATTAAGAAAACCTTTACCGATAAATCTGGATGTAGCATATGTGATATTTACTTTTATCTTTTTCAAACCAGTCTTAAGAAATTGTAAAAAACATAATAAAACAATTAAAAATGTAAAAACATAACATTTACATTAAATATAGGTTAATATAATAACTTATATAATAACTAATAACATAAGCAGCCTAAATGTTTTAGAATAGGACAGATACGTATCAAATGTATCAAAACAGAAATTAATCTTAATTAAAATAAGTGAAAGTCAATCAAGCTAACTTCTTAGGGTGATTAACGTGTTTAGTAAAATATGCAGAGAATTATACCAAACTCCCTCTCATTATAAAAGTGCATTAACAGACAATGTCTTACTCTCTGGGGTGACCTCTGTGGACTTGGTGAAGTTTGGCGTGGTCTGTTTAAAGACTTTGGTCCTCTCCCCACCAACAACCACTTGGGCACCCAGCAACGGGACAAGCACAGCCAAACTCTGTAGTGTCATAGCGACGAGTGAGTCATTCGTATCTCTCATTCCCAGCAAAACCTGCAAGATAAATTGTGGGAAATAACTGAAACAATCCCAGTATCAACTTAAAAACATCCTGAATTTACTCATTTTTCGAAAGAATTCAGTATCCCTAAGCTGTTGATACAAACACATACATTTTCACAGTACCTGAGGAAGAATCAGATTTTTCAGTTCTTCGTGAGGAAAGAACTCAGCATAGATGTGAATGTGGGAGAGAAGCACAATCCTGACATGCTCCTCATTCACCTTATAGAGCTTAAGGAGCTGAGGAACCACGTATCTCCGATACAAAGACAAAGACAGAAGACACTCCTCACCGGTGCTCACACTCGAGTCTGTACATCAGAAAACAGACATGTCAACTTCATAACTAAGACTAATGCTACTAAACAAGTGGACAATAAGCATCTCCTAAAGGTTTACTGACTGGTTCTACCTTGCTTAGGCCGTAAGAGGTGAGGAAGAAAGCTTTTGACAGCAATGGGCTCAGCAAACACCAAAGAATTGAGCAATTTAGGTGTCAGGCGTGTAGCAATTAACTCCTCTGGGAGGTTCTGAACTCGGTCCAAAAGAAACCTGCAGAAACGCACTTAGTTAAGCACAACACTTCACCCTTCTAGAGTAATAAAATCATGCATTTGAAAGGGAAGCTTACTTGAAGAATTCATTCTTCTCCTCCTCATTTTTCAGGGTCAAACTCTTCATAAAATTCATGATATCTAAGAAGTCATTTCTATAAGAATTAAATATTGCAAAGTTTAGTATTTAAATCATTTAATTATCTTAATAATCTTCCTTCAATACAGGCAAAATTAATGTTTGTAAAATTAAAATTGATTTTAAAAGACCACGATTGATCAGAATTTTTTTTTTTATCAAAAAAGTTTTCAAAAGCGAACCTGAAGAACTTGTGAGTCAGCAGACTGCTGAGAGATGGGCGAGACATGGGGTCAGGGGTCAAGAGGCTGGCCTGCAGCATGTTCTTTAGACTCTCCAATAAATCATCTGAGACTGAGA